AATGGAATTATTTCTTTATCTGAAGAGGTGTAGTGGTATTGCATTTGTACTGGGAACATATTCATGAATTCGGTTCTAAAAGAAATATTCAAATGACTTCTAGCAGATCAAAAGTCTGTGTAAGATGTGCTAAAAATTTTCAGAACCGTATTTATTTGGTTTGGTACTAACTTAGCCAACATTCAGAAGGGCTTACTAATTTGACCCGGAATAAATTGCGCCATAATATCCACGATACCACTAGTAAATCACTTGAAGATTTCTCTGGCAAAAAGTCAGTCAAACAAACAAGACATTAGGTCACTCTGTGCACTTATTACAGACCGCAGTAGAGTCAGGAAATAAATGTGTGTTCCGAGCTATATCATTTCTCATTTTCTTGACTTGCTTACTCAAACACTGCGGTTATGTTAAGTCGTGATTCTTCACTTATTATATGAGGGGCCAGCTGATAGAGCATCAGTGGTAACTCTGGAAGTAGGTAAGTGAGGCGGGTTTGATAGAAATCATAAATATTGGCGAAATGTTTCCGTTAGGAACTCTTCAAATGCCTCCTCAAAGTTGGCTCTTGTACAATCACTTGACTGCACAGAAAATCGACAAACAGCCGAGACTGCACACAAAAAGTGACCATATAGTCATAACCACATTGTTCTGATCAGTTGTCAGCCAAGTCTCACAAACTGTCAGTGCCCAGCTCTTGCTACGCTGGACCTCACGCTGTCCCTCGAAGACTTTCAGAAACGCTTCGTATTGACCAATGCGAAAACCAGAACACTAATTGGCGACTCAAGAATCCCTTATTCTTACGCCAACACATAACCAACAATAATGTAATTACACAAGGTCTAAGAACAATTGTTATAACAATAAATCATGATTGTACTTCTGATAGGTTTTAACCTTCTTCTGGACAGCGAACTATGAGACGATGACTGCCGGATTGATGACCCGCGAAAAATATGGAGGAGTTGGATTTGAGCAAATAACCATGGATTGATCGTTCAATCTTCAACTACGTTGACAACAGTCTTCTGTAGAGCAAGTGAATTCTAGAATTTTTGTCTTGCGAAACATTAAACACTTCTACAAGTAAATTCCGCGTCCTAACAATAATTCGTTAAAGTTAGTAGCAATAATTGTGTGGATTATTATAATACTTTGACCTTGTTGGGATTTATACAGCAGAACGCTGGTGGGGTCTGTCACGCATATCCACAACAAAATTATTAGTTGACAAGCTTCCAGAGTTGGGTGTCTGTGGAACGGTAATTAAATTTAACCAGATCGCTTGCCACTCGCATCTAACATATCCTGACTCTCCAGAAGAAGAATTAGGCATTCAGAAAGAAACCCTTCAAGATCAATATTGACCAAGATTTATCCACAAGCAGAACAGACCAAGGGTTCAGAAAAACTAAATATCATTTGTGCCAGCTTGTTAATTCACATGAAGCCTAATTTCAAGGGGGACGACCCGTGACATCCCCAAGAGTACAAGTTCGTCATCTTTGAGAAGATTATTCTCCGCAGCCAAACTGAGAGAAGTAATCTCCTGTCACTAGCTAGTCTGTAGAAGCCTGAAAGACAGTCACACGTCTGTCACTATGTATGTGCATGCAGCGGTCCACCAGTTCCTGGGAAGTCATGTGTGTGTGTGGCACAGTGATTAGGACTCTCGCCGACCATGCACATGGTCCGAGGCTCGATTCGCTGCCGACGCACACCTGATATCAGCGGTTAGCCTGCGAAATTCCGGCTACCGATATCACATGCTGAAAATTCCACACTTGTACCAAAACTAAGGTGTGAAATCAAGCTGTAATCAAAAATATTTTGATCAACCAACTCGTATCCTGTTGAAAATTATTGATGAACACTATCCCGAATGGTCTCAAAAAGGTATTATTGGTTCTGTGAGGAGTGCAACGTTTGAACGCATCGTTCACAATTGTTACTCTAATCTAGCAGTTTCAAAACAACCTATGAATGCGAGGGTGACCTGTCAAAGCTGCAACGCTGTCGCCCCCTATGCACCGCTAAAGACTTAGACATTCAAACAAGGATTCTAGTGCTCCACACATGGAAAGGAATCATTCAGCTGCTTCCGATATCACAGTAACGGAACTATTGTTCTCCAACAACTGGAGATTTTGTTATCTGCCTTTAAAACTCTTTACAGATCTTATGTTTGCTTCAAATTCTTACGTGATATCACATTTCCGACCCACTTCGATATGCATTTCATTCACGACACACGTATCTAATTATCTATCTCATCATGAGTCCAATCTCTGTTGTAAGTAGTCAGAAGAAGGGTTCGCCGAGAGGTTGCAATAACATTATTATGGAATAATTTCTCGTGGTTAAATCTAATAATTGAACGACTACTTTGTATTCCGTAAGGATACCGAGGACAAGAGTGTCGACAAACCCACGCCAGATGCAAGGAAGCTTTCTTGAAGTACATGTATGGGCGGTGCTTACGGCATACTTTATCATCTCGATATTTAGGCTTACAAAATCCCGGTGTTCTGCAACTAGAAAAACTTGCCCTTGGCCACAGAGACGATAACGAGACTCACTGGTATACCCAGTAACGTTTTGACGAATAGACCTTACAATCCTGTAGTTCGCGACCAAGACCTTAATCCCAATCATCGTCACCCAAACATGCAGGAGCCCACAGTAAATGTTTTAGGAGTCCCGAATTACTGGTACAGCCCATGGCACCTAGGACTACCTTGTGCAGCTGTGATGGAGCATGCCTCATATGTATACATAACTCAGTTGTGGTCAGTAAGATCGGAGACGAAACACTGGCTGCAGTACTCGACCCACTCTGAGTTATCGTACTTAGAGATAAATACCAGCTCATGTGCGACGTTTATCGGAAACCTCCATCAGCCCCCGAAACTGACGCGTTGTTAGATAAATCGTTTTCACATGCCTATCCGCCTGGTATATCTGGTGAAATAACTTTTGGGGACATTAAACTACGGGAAATAAACTCGTTAAATGCTTCCGACCCCAACTCTTTGACAAAATACTATTGCTGTTTACTGGTGCGGATGGAAACAATATGTTCACACACTTACCCGCGGTGACATGTTGGGCCTTGTGTTCTTTCATGAAATAATCTCTGTTGCCACCTATTTTGGCAACGTATATTCCAGTAGTGGCCATATAATAGTGCTGCGCCGTTTGCCTGTCTCGTCACTGAATTCGGGAAACAAACAAGATTCACGGAGAATGGCATGCCGCAGTTACAAGCTCACAGAATATGGAATAGTCCAAGAACTCATTCGAAACTGTAACTTGTACAACTATTTTATTGCCAAATCACTAGAGGCTGTAATATCCCTATTTTATTGCGGTGCCACTCCGTGTTAGAATACTGTTGCTCCTAAGAAGAAAGTGAAATTAAATAGACACCAAGCAGAGTACATTTCAAAGTCATGGCGTAGTGAGTTAAGGAAATTACCGAAATAGTACTGTTCGATGAAATATACATCAATTGCCTCAACCTATTAGTCACTTGAATCAATGAAGCGCTTATGCTCCCAAAACGACCACAACGAAAGTTAAGTACACTTAAAAGTACTCCAAAAGCTTATAATCTGAAAGCATTTCTTGGAAAACGAATGCGGCTGACAAGCAGCACCCCTTATTGCAATAATCTTGCTACCATCTGCGAACTTTTCAGTGGGTAGTTTGCCAACTTTAGTTTAGAACCACACTTCCCTAGTGAAACTGCACCCCTCACTAGACCCTTTCTCATGGGCATAGTGTTCGTCAGTCAGTTAATAGGATGAGCCGTCCAAAAACTTAGACCTCCCACTATCACGGGACCAGATGGACTCCCCAAATAATTTCTAGAAACAGCAGGTGTGACATTCCGCTCCTACTTCTCAGGTTCCTTTTAATGCTATTTACCACAGTGAGTGGAAAACCAGCTTTATAATTCCACTTTACAACGTATTCCATTGCTTAACTGGTTAAAGTCACTTCTGAGTGAAAGGACACAAATAAGTAAGGTCAAGTCTTTATTGCCTCACCATGGACAGATCACTAGTGGTGTTATAAAGAGCAGTGTCTTAGGACCGTTTCTATTAATGGTCTACATTAACAGAATATATAACTGCATCACCCCAGGCAGACAATTCCTATATGCTGACAACCTCAAAATTGTTTACCCCTTGCTACAGTTATGAATTAAGCGACTTGATAAGTAACATTCGCCTTAAATTAAGTAGTCTCGCGTCATGTTGTGCTGAATCCCAACTGAAGTTTAACATTACGGAATGTGGCTAGAGTTGCACTGGCGACAGTAATCTCGACCTAACTCGTGAAGTAAGTGGGCAAAACTACCTGAACTTAACTAAGTCGTAGATCTCGGTATCAGTTACTCCAGTGATTCAATGTTCTCTGAACTAATTGATCATTACTCGTAATTTCTTTTGTTTTGAAATAGGAGTTTTGCTGTACAAAGTATGTATTTATATACAATTGGTGGATGGTGGCTAGCAGTGGAATCCAGGGTGCGCATTTCGTCCTAATTGGGACTCGTCAGCTGGATGTACCTGCATTTCTCAGTGAGTGATTATGTTCCCACCGAGGCTCGAACCCAGTGCCCATAGTTTCAAACGCTTTCTGTTTTGTTACTGACTGTGAAAAAACTCCTATGTGTGATGTTTGCTATTGCGTAAAATTTCTCAATTTGAAGCATGAATGCACAATCAAGCTTCATGTGTGACTTATAATACCTAATTAATCATGGCCAGACTTAATTTATTGCAAAATTGTCAGTATATAAATCCTTAGGAGTGAAGGTGATATGATGAATATTTTGATGTCAATGGCCCGACCTTGTTAGAATAACTAGGAAGCCGCGTCAGTTGAATTCTTGCCAAGGTACGTCGGGCAGCTGGCACGTGGGGTTTTTGTTGGCTCCGTGGGAAATACTGTCGTTCTAATATCATTTGTCTTTCTCTAGAAGTATGGCAGTTGGTGGTCAGAAAAAATCCGCTAAGCCTGGAAAGAAGGGAGGGAAGAAGAAAACGTAAAGTTCAATTCTAACTAAGCATAACATTTTCAGAGGTGATCCATTTTCCAAAAAAGAATGGTATGATATCAAAGCACCAGCTATGTTCACTAAGCGAACCTGTGCAAGGACACTAGTTACTCGGACTCAGGGTACTCGCATTGCAAGTGAGGCGCTCAAAGGTCGCGTGGTTTCCCTCAGCCTCGGAGATTTAAGTGAGAAAAACGAGGAAGTCTTCCGTAAATTCAAGCTCCAAATCGAAGATGTTCAGGGTCGTCACTGCCTGACAAACTTTCATGGTCTTGAGCTAACTCGAGACAAGTTGTGTTCAGTTGTTATTAAATGGCGGTCGACCATTGAGGCACATGTTGATGTTAAAACTACAGATGGATACCTGCTGCGTTTCTTTATCATTACATTCACTCCAAGTGCACCAGGAATAGAAAGGCGGCGCACCTATGCTCAAACTACACGCATCAAACGGATTCGTGCTCGGCTAGTCGAAATTATTCAGCAGGAAGTCTCATCCTGTGATTTGAAGGAAGTTGTTAATAAACTGTAAGTTTCTTGATTCACAAGTTACTGTTTCAGTATCCCAGATTCTATTGCACAAGATGCACGCAAAGCAGCATCGTGGATATATCCATTAAGCGAAACGTTCATACGTAAAGTAAAGGTCCTTAAAAAGCCTAAAGTTGATCGTAAGTCATGCAATATTTATTTATCATATTCTTAGTCGCTCGACTGATGGAACTGCACGGAGAATCGAAGTCAGTTGCTCCAGGGGAAACACTTTCTCGTCCTGATCACTATGAGCCTCCAAAAGTTGATTCAGTTTAGTTGAAAATATAACTTGTGGAATATCTGTGGTGGTCCTTAATCTAGATGACACGAAATTTACGTTGTTATGTGTCTGATGAGTATTATGATAGGGCTAACCTTGGCGCAGTCGTGAGCACATTCTACTTGTTTCGGTAGGAATGCGTGTTTCGGCTTATTTGCGACGAAGTTGGTATGAAACTAAACTGCTGCTACACTACATGGGAGACAACGTTCAAGGTTTTTTTGAAGTGAATTTAACGATTTTCCAGAATTAGTTCGCTCAAATTAGATCAACTGTGTTGGTCTAATATATAACCACTATATTCTGCTTCCTTGGTGTGATCTGTGCAGGCGGATGCACACTCGCGGTTGTCGAAATACCTTCATAATTTTTAATTAGAATGGTTCTGTGAAAGTGGGATCTACTTGAATTGCTAACTATGCCCCTCCGATGATGACAAGGTGATATTTCCAAGTATATGCCGATTAGTTTTGGACCTGATAACTAAAGCACTGAAATTACGTTATAATGCTTTCAGACAGTTGCACGTAGATGCTTACACCTTTGCAGATAGTACTAGTCTGGAGTTTAAACTTGCTACTTTTAAGAAAAGTATTTTAGACTGCAGTTGGTGCATCGAAACGTACTGCTATTCCTCTATGTTGCAGTCGAAATTCACTGGCTGAAGATGAACAATTGCTAATATATGGATTAAGATAGGTGTGAAGTAGCACAGGTTTTACGCTGAGTAGGAGTGTTGAAATATGACTGAATCATAAACTGGTTCGAATGAATGTAATTGGTTAAATGTCACGGTGTGCGATCATTAATGTATCCTTTCCTCTTTTGACGTTTACTAAACTCTGCTGGTTGTTCTGGAGTGACATTTTGTGTGAGGATAGTCTCCCGGACTTTTATTTTTCAGAATAGTAATTGCTACCTACGTTATTCTCAGTGTTGTGGAAATTTCATTGTCATACGTCGAGTCCCATCACACATTGTTCATCAATGATAGTTGGTGGTGGCTGTATAACGTGAACTGATCGTACTAAAAAGTTTATCGTCATCGAATTCCAACAGAAGAGCCTAATGGTCAGCAAACTTTTCTGGACTTGTAGATTTTAGTTCGATTTCTGGTGGCGTTGGCGATTCCCTGTCTAAGATGAAGTGAGTCTGCAGTTATCCCTGATTTACTGTGACTGATGTTGGCTTCTCATGATCTCTACATTGAATTTAGTTAGAATTCTTTTAAATACTCAGTTTTGATGTCCTTAATAAAATGAGAAAAATCGAAGATGTGCATGCCAATAATAAAAACGGAGATATAATAGTTTTGTCATAAGCTGGACATGAAATTTTGGTCTGAACAAACTAGTTTGGGTTTGCTATTCTTGTAGTTTATTGATGTTCATGAATTTGGTAGGCAGAAGTTCGTTGGTGAAGCTGCATTAAAACCGTCGTCTTCCTCGTGGAGCATAATTAGGTCAAATGTATATTAAGATGACACGTGTCTGTGCAGTATTTGACTATTGGTTTGAACTCCGTATGTAGGTGTATGCTGTCTACCCTTTTTGGAAATCTAAGGATCAGTGGATGGGGATGGTTGGAGAGCTGAACATTTTTTATGTAACACTAAGTATCTTCCATATTTGGCCAGTTTTCACTAATATTCCTCTACAGGATGTGTTGGGTGACATGGTTTAGCCGGAAAAAGTTAAGGGTGGTCAAAATCAAGGCCTAGCATCAATCCATGAAGACTTCGAAGGTTCGGGTGGCTCAGGTAAGCAGGTGTAGACTGCTTGACTGGGATTCTCGAGATGCTAAGAACCAATGGCTTGTGAATATTGGTGATATGACTCCAAATTGTCCTAGATGTCGCAGATGAATTGATTTTTTTGGTGTCCCATGTTCATTAAGTCCTCATGGTTTGCATGTTACTATTCTTTCCCCCATACATTGCCGCTCATTGTAGCTCTTTTAGATTTTCCTTTTGTTTTCTGTTGTGTGTACTGCATTTAGTATGGCAACCTGAACTGTTGCACTTCTGTGCAAAGTTCTCTGTTGTATCTCACTGAGTCCGCGAAGATGTTACGGGTTGACACTCCACTGTGCAGGTCCGAGTCCCGCTACATCTGCATTACCATACGTCGCAAACTGTTTTGGTAATCAAGGTGCCGAAGTTTAATGAATGTCTTTTATTCAACATTTGTTGTTAAGTATACATTTGACATACTTTACAACTCTGTAAGATCCAGTGAATTCCTTGTCACTGCTAAACCGTTGGGCATCTAAAATATTCGAGTAAATTTCTCAATTTAGGTGGGCAATGATAGTCATTTGGTGTTATTCGAATGCCGGTAATTCTCACATTCGTTTTTCTGTGTTTAGACTTGCAAGGAGGGGAAAAGGAATACAGAACCGGCTAATATATTACTGTCTTCGACTACCTACAAATGTATATTCGTTGGATATTGTTAATTTTCGTTTTCCAGTCTGAAAAATGACCTATTTATCTAAGGAACTTTCAGCATATAATCCATGTTACTGTTTCTAAATAAAGAGAGCTTGTGAAATAAAATACTGATCAGGGCACTCTACTCGAACTCATGCAGCCAGGTAAGAGATTTTGGAAAGTTGTCATCTGAAGTGGTAACAACTAGTGGTGTCTGTCACGGATGCCCACTGTTCCCATTTCTATTTGATTTCATCATAGATGTACTAATGCACTTAAACCTAAGTGACTTCAGCGACTCAGGGATTGACTTGTTACCAGAGAATAATCTCGTTGACTTCGAATATGCAGGTGATATAGTCCTTCTAGGTGAGGACGCTGACAAAATGCAGAGTCTTCTGAACACTTTGAGCAACAACTTTCGAATGTTTGGCATGCGATTCTCTTACCTCAAATGTAAGGTTATGCTACAGGACAAGACTACATCGATTCCTAGTTTAAGGATAAGGAGTGAAGTGGTTGGCGGAGTGCATTGACCACTTCACTTATTTAAGGAGTTGCATCAGTCAGTGCAAATGTGTTGATCGCTGACGAAACTTCGACGAGGATACAGAATGCTGGTTTCACATATGCTAGTTTACTCCGTCTCTGGCGTAGATGTGGTATTCGACTGGCTATCGACCAGAGACCTTGAGTAGTGCTCACCAGTTCGCTCGGTCCTCTTTTATGGCTGGCTGTGGAACATGGCCATTCAAGGTGGAAAGCAAGAAAAGTCTGACTAGGGATCTTTGATCATAGTTGCCTGCGTTCTGTCTCGAGACTTAGGTGGTGGTATAATAAGGTGAGCGATATTGAGGATAGGCATCGGTCGAGTGTTAGGTAAAGAGGGAAATCAATCGATGAGGTTGTGAAGTTACATCGATTGAGTGAGATGGTTAGGACATGTGTTACGCATGTCCTACACCTATCCGTCGATCGCCTTCCTCGACTGATGGTAATGTTAGCTGACATAGGATCGATGAGGTTGGAGAAGAGCTAGCGGCAGTCAAATCAAAGCATGGTTTTGTCAGTTGACGAAATCCACAATAATTAGTTTAAGCCAGCCAGCCGTGTAGGTAGATGTGGACTTCCTGACTGGTTGTGGTCCTAGGGATGGTAAAAACTAGTGACTGCAGACAGTGGGTGATGTGGCTCAAAATCGTTGTCAATGGCTAGCGCAGACGCATTTACTCCTTGTACCTCATCATATGCAATCGAACTCTATTGTTCTTCCATTTTGCTATTCCTTTTGCCTCATATATCTCTTTTGAATCTGTCTTTACTCTCTTGTCTTGCTTTTTGTATTACGTGGAGGGAGTGTGGCAAGTCGAACTGCTTAGATCTGTGTTGAAACCAGTCAACTGTGTTATGTCTTCCTCAATATTTGTTGTAAATACTTCTTACCGTGAACGTTTTATCACTATCTGATCGGCAGTAATTTTAATAAAGAAGTAGTTTAGAGCACATTTAAAGATTAAAACTCGATAAAAGCTTATTCATTCTACCAAGGTCAGAATAAGACAATTATTACAAAATGGATTGGCATTCAAGACAATCACTTTAATGTCCGAAAAGTAGATTATTGTCTGGATTATAATAATAATAATAATAATAATAATAATAATAATAATAAAAGAACTTATTCATATTCAGCCATTTCCTCATGTGTATAGTAAAAAATCTCAATAGAGGTCATTACTGATATATGATTCTTCATAAAGTATTTCGTTTATAGGATATTTAATCAGCCTTAGGATTGCTATGCATTCCTTGTGTTCTGAGTAGGATATAGGGTTTCAGCTACACATCTCTAGTGCATTTCGTCCTCTGCTGACTTTTTGTAAGCTACCTCCACAACTGATCACAAACTTTCATTTCCTGTTCACACAATCTCCTTCATGTCACCCTCAGATTTTCAACTGGTCACATCTCATCCAGATTCTATTCGAGTGCCAAGTGTGTGATGTCACTTTACTTTCAGTATACGTTCAATCTCTCTCCATTTCATCCTTCATATTTCTTTGGCAATAGGTTATTGCCTGGTTCACTTTACTACCCATTGTTCCTTGTTGTTTTCTTTTTGGCCTGTCACCTCATATTCCGTGTCGGGACAGAGAAGGTAGGTGTTGTTGGAAGTCTTAAACTGCCGTTTGGAAACGCTTTTGCTGATGCGACAGCGCCAGTTTCCTGAATCACATAGAAGTATTGACTGATTTGACATTAGTGTTGACTGTTCCAATCTCTTTCCGATATATATCCATATAATATGTGTGTTTTGTTTGACAGTCTGTTCTTGGTGATATATATCCATATCTGTCTGTCTGTCTGTTTTCGACATAGAACTTTGCACAAATGTGCGGAAGTTCAAGTCGCCACATTCCGTGTAGCACGCGAAGCAAGAGAAGAAAGTACAAGAAAAGCATAATAGAAACAGTGAGCAGAGGTGTGAGACAAAGGAGTAATAAAGAAATACAAAACAGTTTCATTGGAGATCATAAGTCACAGGGAGTGGATGCATCTGCGCCA